AGGCCCTTTCGACTTAGTGCTCTCAAGTCTGATGCTGCCTGGGTGCTGGTTGGAGGTGGGCCTGCCTGAGAAGCCCCCCACTGGGCTTTCAAGACCCCCTCCCAGACAGCGGCCTTCCAGGGCTTGGCAAGGCGCCACAACCCTCCCAGGAGCCCTCAAGGCCAGCGCCAAACACACGGCCTGGTTTCCACTGTGGTCACAGTAAAGAAGCAATTTGTGCTTTAATCAAGTTCCTATTCAACATATTTTCAATGATTAATGACCCAACTGCTTCATTTTTTTAGTCCAGACCTCAGACAAAATATTTTTAGCTTGATATTTTTGGACAGGGAGTAAAACTAGATACATTAAATAAATAACCTATGTGAGCCCAGAGGCTGCTCTCTTGGCCAGATGCAGGGCCCATTTACACACCAGCACCTGGGATTTTCAGCTTTTCCGCATTGCCGTGAACAATGGCAGTCCCAGGGTAGGAGCAAGGACAAGGCTCCTGGAAGTATCCTGTTCACAGCGTCTACACCTGGTTTCCTGCCAGGGTCAGAGGCTCCCAGGGCTAGGGGAGCAGTGGAATCAGGCTTTGTTAATAGGATGTGTGGGGGTGAGAGAGGCGCCCAAGGGGCCCACACCCAGGGTCCCAGGTCCTTCCACAGCAGAACCAGAATTCTCCCACAGGCCGGCTCTGTGCAAGGTGCTTAGTGCCCAGAGATGAGTGAGAAGTGGCCTCTGCCCTCTTGGGGTTGGGGGGACAGACAGACCATCACACAGTTTGCGGGGAGAGAAGGGCCCCCTCACAGAGGAGGTGTCACCGACAGAGCAGGGAATGGGCCTGGGCAGAGGGATGTCATCCATTAATTCATCAAAGGTCTGTTAGGAGACACACATGGGGATGAAGGACTGATGTACTGTGTGATTGATAATGGGACACCCTGCCCTGGTGAATGCGGGGCTCTGGAGGAGGTATCCACAAATTTTGTCTGGGGAGGTGCTATGGGCTAAATTGTCGCCCTGCCAGCACATGCACTGGCACCTGTGTGAGGACACAGGGAGAAGGCGGTGTCTGCAGGTCAGAGAACAGAGCCCTCGCCGAAACCCAACCATCCTGGCACATTGACCTCACACCGCTCTGTGCAAGGTGCTTAGTGCCCAGAGATGAGTGAGAAGTGGCCTCTGCCCTCTTGGGGTTGGGGGGACAGACAGACCATCACACAGTTTGCGGGGAGAGAAGGGCCCCCTCACAGAGGAGGTGTCACCGACAGAGCAGGGAATGGGCCTGGGCAGAGGGATGTCATCCATTAATTCATCAAAGGTCTGTTAGGAGACACACATGGGGATGAAGGACTGATGTACTGTGTGATTGATAATGGGACACCCTGCCCTGGTGAATGCGGGGCTCTGGAGGAGGTATCCACAAATTTTGTCTGGGGAGGTGCTATGGGCTAAATTGTGTGCCCCCCCCACATTCATATGTTGAAGTTCTAACCCCCAATGTGTTGTATCCAGAGATAGTATTTTTTAACGAGGTGATTAAGGTTAAATGGGGTCATAAGGGTGGTGTCCTAATCAGATAGGATTGTTGAGAAAATTAATTTCTGTTATTTAAGCCACCCGATTTGTGGCACTTTGTTATGGCAGCCTGAGCTGACTAAGGAGGCCAGAGAGGGCTTCAATGTAGCAGTGGACCTTTGAGCTGCACTTTGAAGGATGAACAGGAATTGGCTAGAAGGATAGGTGGACAGAACGGCAGGTGCAAAGGTGGAGAGGCTATGAGTGCATGGCATGTTCTGGTAACAAAGGACAAAATGTTTGCCCGGCTGGAGTGCAGGGATTGCCAGGGAGGGGCCTAGATAAGGCTGTATCCAAAAATGGAGCTGGATCCCTGGCCAAGGCCACTCCAGATGAGGGGAGAACCTACCTCACAGGCTTCTGCCAAGCAGCTTTTAGCAGGCGAGCCCTGTGACCCACCCCTGGGGCTACCCACCACCAGAAGGTTCCTTAGTCAGGGGGGTGTGGATTCCCAGCACACCGCTCCAATACTGCCCATACTGAAAACTGCCCCCTCCCATCTCCTCTTGGGCCAGGGGTGTGCACACTGCCAAGTGCCTGGTAACATGGCCCATGGAGGCCCAGGCAGCTGCCTCAGGGCTGTTTGAGCAGGAAGTTCCTTGGCCTTATAAGCTCCTCACTTCAAGGGAAGGGCCAGAGGAAGGCATGAAGGGGGTCCCCTAATGTGGGGGTCCCTGAGTCTAAGGGTGGTATGAGGGTCTGCTGGGCAGGGTCTCAGTGCCCTGGCAGGGCCAGCTCCCATTCAGTGCAAGCAGGAGAACAGTGACACCCCTGCTTCCGTCCTTGTCTGGGGGCCCATGGCCCTGCTTCTTTTGGAGGAAGTGTCAGCAATAATTTCAAACCTATACCCCCAATTCATCCCTTCTCTCCATCTCTCCACAGATATCCTAGTTCCAGCCACCATGCTCTCTCGCCTGGACCATTGCAGCAGCCTCTAACCAGTGTCCCTGCA